GTAATTTGACCATTTTTGTGCAGTCACTCTCCTTTATAATATTAGAAGCAATTTCAAATTCCCAGGAGCAGAAAATCTTGTACTTAACAAGAATAGATTGATTCAGGTCTCGTTTTTTAATTCACCCTGTATTTTACGCTTCTGGGGGGTTCAGCATATTAGGACATAGACAATTCTCCAATCCGACTTAGTGTAGTAGTATCAATTTTTTGTCATGATAGTTTAGCAAATTAGAAAATTTATCATTTCAGTGTAGTTCTGTAATTTGTAGTTCTGTTTAGAGTACGTTGATTTTCCAGTAATGCATACTTGTACCAAATTTACCCGAGCTTGGACTTTTAAAAACTCCTATTTCCCCCCACCTACGATTAATATGCAACAATTTTATTCTTATACATCTAGCAAAATCCTTACAACCCAGGCGTATGTAATTCCCTGACTAAAGGCGATTTGAGGATGGTGAAAGACAGAAATCATCTCAATAAACTTTTACTCTGTATCAAACAAGCAACACACTTTTACGGGAAGATGATGTCCAACTCAGGTATTAATATACTTCTTGTATGGAACTTCTTCTAAAAGCGTTTTAAATCCTTGTAATGTTGTAACATGTAGTGTTTTTGACATATAGGAAATTCATATGGCAACTATTTTGACCCAGCCAAAGATTGTTCGTCCATACTGGACAAAATCCCCGATGCCAAAACTGGAGTATATTGGATTAAAACTGACAATGGACCGAGAAAGGTAAAGAATATTTCATGGCTAAATAGTTTTGGCTCACATGCTGACTGCTTATGCAAATGTTCCGGCTTATCCGTATTTATAATGAGTCATTATAAAATATTAATGAGCTTATTCGGATTTTTACCATGAATTGTACAAAACGTAAAGCGTTATCCGGATTTTGAAGCAAAATATTTCTGAGCCAATGACCTTCCCAGGTTGAGTAACGAATCAGAATGCTGGATTTTGTGATAGACCACGGTTGGTGTATACTAACAAGAATGTTTTACTGGACCACGGAGAGAACAGTTAAGAACTGGTATAAATTAGCTCATATCCAATAGCTCTGTTCTTCTTCATATAGGCTTGGTGTGATTTGGTTACAGACGGCGGGGGATTTTTGTTGATAGGTGTTCAAAATTCATCAAGAACCATGGATGTTCCTTCTGATTCTACACTTGTCCATCCACTGGACCTCAGACACTGGTCCAGCAGCTTTGGCGAGGAAAAGATTTTGGACTTCAGAGTTCAAATTGCAACCTCTAAAAGCTGGTCCGACACAAAGGCACACTGGTATATTTTGTTCACCTTCGGGAAACGTAGCTAGGAAACAATCTTTCCTGGATTGTCCACCTTCAGGAAACATGGCCAGGAAAAATTTGTTTCCTGATTTGCCCACCTTCAGGAAACATGGCTAGGAAACAAAGTTTCCTGGTTTGTCCACCTTGGGGACGTGAAATTTGTGAAAGATCTCCAAGACAATGTTGTGGTCACAAAAAAATTTGAATGTTCGCGCTTTGATGTTCATTTTCACAAACGTGTGGGATGGGTTAGTACAAATATAAAATTGGGGAACTACTGCAATAAATAATTTGTGTCTCAACTACCTGAAAAAAAGACTAAAACCACTTCGATGAATTATCTAACAAATAAATAAAGTAAAATAATGTGTATATTTTTAGGGTAAAATGAATGAATGCTTTCGAACTCCGTGCAAAACTGGTTTCAATTTTTTTAAGTTGGCAACTTCAGGAGCTTTCAGGTAAAAACAATCTTTAAATTTTAAAGAAACTGGAACGATCCATTTAATGTCTTCTTTCACTCTTAGTTTCAGTGTGGAATCAAATAAATCTGGGATAATAAATAATTCCACAAAATATATCGGATGTGAAAAAGACAAGGTAATTCTTCCTAATCCTTGCAATGCTTAATTATCCTAAACATATCCTTGTGATGTAATTCTGGTCAATCCTACATATCTTAAGTATCCTAAATCTTTATTGCATAACGTCAGAAAATGTCAAAACAATGAGTGACTCAGACTGGATGACATGAAGAACAGTGAGATTTTCAAAACAATGAAAAGACAATGGAATATTCTGATCACTGGATCATGACTCGATGGCATGGAGAACAGTGGGATTTTTAAAACAATGAAAAGACAATGGAACATTCTGATTACTGGATCATGACTGGATGGCGTGGAGAACAGTGGGATTATCAAAACAATGAAAAGACAATGGAACATTCTGATCACTGGATCATGACTCGATAGCATGGAGAACAGTGGGATTTTCAAAACAATGAAAAGACAATGGAACATTCTGATCACTGGATCCTGACTGGATGGTATTGGTAACCATGCAAGGCCCATATACAACGTTATTCTAGCTTAAGAACGAACTGAGGTTGACATGGGTTGATTTTTGTTGTTATAGTGTTGTGCATGCTTCGGGCCCTCCAGTGAAAAAGATTACTGTGCCCCAGGCTGCAAGGCAATCAACGGAGGGACAATTCTGACAGATGACGACACCGAGATCCATGCGTGGTACTGGATACGAACCTCGTTACCAAAACGAGTTTGGAAAAAATGTATGGAATATGAGAAAATTGACGCAGGAGGGAAAACTGTCAAATGGCATGTAGATGAATATACCAAAGTTCCTCAACAGGTACATACTTAGTCTCCCGTACAGCCGCTGTTTGTGGTACATACGTAGCGGGCTATGGTTGCAAACAAAGGAACCAACTCATTGGCTGAACTTATGTCCATGAGCATACCAATTTTGAAACAATATTTTCCTATTTATAGGGGCCTTGTTCGTATCCAGGAGATGTGAGATTTAATGATGGAGTACGTACCATGTCATTTTAATAAGTTGTCATTTTTTTCAACACATTATTGATCAAACTACACACGTAAAAACGCACAAGTGGTTACATGTCTGCAAACAAGTTGTTACAAATCTGTTCAGAAGCTTACCTACCTTACCTACCTGTCGACAAGTTCTGTTCGCAATGCTTGTTCCCAGTTGTTGTAACAAGTTTGATGGCATTATCAGACTTGTTAGAACTACTTTACAAGTTGTTCTAACAAGTCTGATACATTCATAGAATGATATATTCAATGATATATTCAAGAATGTTACAAAGGTTGGCGACACAAGGTTGTGACAATATTGTTATATCATGACTGTATCGGACTTGTTGGATCAACCTTGCAACAAGTCTGATAATATCAATAAGGTTGTTACAAATTGTTAACAGCTTATTTCCTAACTTGTTGACAACTTGGGACAAGCAGTGCGAACACAACTTGTTGACGGCTTGTTGGCAGACTTGCTACAACATGGGAGATTTGATACAAGACGACGAGTGTAATCATCATCATTACTATCAAGATTATTGTTTATTTATTGACGATAGCCACGTAACATTTTCAGGTTGCAGTGGTTGATAATAAAGAAACATTGGAAAAACTGCCAAATATCGAGGGCCTTCTGTCTTATCGAACTGATAACAAAGATTTGTTACTGAGAGGAAAACATTCCTGGAACAGTATGGCGAAGGAAAACCAGGTGACAATACACTCTTCTGGAAAGTGCTCAGGCTTCACAGCCGCGTTTTCGTGATTGAGTTGTTGGGTTTAGAACACTTTTAACCAGGGCCGCCTCTGACAGGTGGAAGATTTACGAAATCATACAGCTTCAATATTGGAGAATATAAAAACCTTTATATAATGAGATCATCAGTAACAAGATACAGGTTTTTAAAGCAGATATCTCAATCACGAAAATGTGGCTCTATAGCCAAGGATAAGTACTTTCTGAAAGGTGGATTTTAATCTTTAGTTGCCTACCTCGACAAACAGAGACAGACAGCCTGACTAGACAAACAAGTGATCGTTAATATGCTATACAACAAAACGCTCGAAGTCGTCAAATAACACCCCATGCATTCAAATGTTTAAATTGTTCAACAGGTTCTGAAATTAGAAGCGGAACTTGGAACTTCAGAAAGGAAATTAAGAAAAGTCCAAACTTCACAAAACGAACTACGAAGAGAATTGACTGAAAGTAAAGCTAAAATATCTGAGTTATCTTCCAAGCTGTTGAAATTATTAGAAAACGGTATAGTTAATAACGTTACAACATTGTAAACAAATAGCTCATATTTGACCTGATCCAATATAGTCTTAATCAAATCTCTTAATTAATTAATTATCAGTTGGAAAACTCTAGAAATAAATAAGTCGTTTCTTATTCGTGTTTAGAAACCAAAATATATTCATCGTGCAAAAGTGCTTTGGAAAAAATCAGGTGAGGACTTTGTTTATGATGGAACCCAGCCACAATGTTTCTTCATTTTCTGGTATAATCTTGTCTTATTGTATGGTTTTATTTTAGTAATGCCAAACATGGTGTGTATAAAATTAAAAGTCCCTCGGTTGCCAAAGGTTATTTCAATGTATATTGTCACATGACATCGATGCCCGGATGTTCAGGTGGAGGATGGACTTTAGTCATGAAAATCAATGGAAAAAAGGTGAATTACTAGTTAAGATGGCGAACTGATGTTTTTTAAAGGCTTGTCGTCGTCGTCGTCGTCGTTGTTGTTGCTGGTGTTGTTGTTGCTGGTGTTGTTTTATAGTAATGCCATGGTATTGATGTTGTTGTTCCTGCTGTTGTTCTTGCTGCTGTTGTTGTTGTTGTTGTTGTTGTTGCTTGCCTTTGTTGTTCTAAAGAGATTCACAGATTGTTTTCGAGCTGTAAATATAGATGCTATTTTTTAGGAAACATTTCATTACGGTTCCAGTTACTGGAGCAACAACGCAACATACAATCCAGGAGGAGCCCTGACGGGATTCGATGACCAGGAAACGAAACTAGCAACATACTGGAACATGCCTTTCAAGGAAATATGTTTAGGAATGAAAGTCAACAACCACCTAAATTTTATATCTATCTCATATCAAGCATCTTCATTGTATAACGTAATTGCAGATGGCAGTTATCGTGCTACCAGCATTGGACGATCGAAATGGCTGTCTTTGGTACGGGGTTCTGGTTTGCAATTACGCTGCAACCGTGAGGGGTTTAACGTACATTCACTAAAACCACGTTACACTTACCTACAAGTAGTCCGCATAGGAATACTAGGAAATGAAGGTGATGATGGTTGCAGATCCTCAGATTCGTACTTTGGATTTGGTGGCCTGAGCAAAAACAGGCGTATTCATTGCAAGATGCCAAAGACATCAAACACATGTGGCAATGCCGCTTACTGCATGCGTCCAGCAAAAGACAAAGAAATACCTGCAATGGGTTACATTTTTGTTCGTTGAACACTTTATATGTTTCCATCAACTTAATTTTTTACCTTTGATACTTACAGTGACATTGTTGTCATACTGATAATGGCACATAAAATACCTAATATGTAACCAATATTAGCTTGACCACGCAAATATTAGACTGCACTGCTTCGAGTGCTTCAAACCGAGAAGTAACCTTATCAACTTATAATCAGAAGTTTAGTACTTTGCACAATAACATAATCATTAAGTAAAATATATAACAATCTGTAATGCATTGGTTTTCAACATAATCATTAAGTAAAATATATAACAAGCTCATTCTCGTACCCAGAGCCCTTCTTACGCGCGGTGCGATGAGGGGCTCTGACCAAATCCATAACCGGATACCATAAAAACATGGTAAGAAAACAATATCCGGTGTTAGAACTAGCCAATCAGATGCCAGTTCGTAATGCCAAGCTGTGATACATTGGTTTTCATTAAAAATGACCTTTACTGTCCTGTCAAATTATCCTCATCCATTATAAGACCCATTTGCTTTGTCCTTTCGAAACTTTTTTCTGGTATATTTCAAAAAGGTTTTCTGTGCAGCTGCAAATTAAGAGCTAGTCTTTTGAACTTTTAAAAACTGATTAATACAATAACATCTTGCGGCCCAATATAATTCAAACAAATAATGTATATAATACAAAAGTAAGTTAAGTTACACTCTAAGAGAATATTCTGAGTATACAACATGCACACATCCACTCTGTAACGCAACAAATTTAAAACAATTACCTCTCAAAGCCCAACATAGGGTATGAAAAGACTTGAAATGCATTTCTATATGATACAGAGTCATTTTAGTTGGTAAGCATCATGGACGCCAATAAGCATACATATTGTGTTTCACAAAGCATTATCGTGCAGCAGATGGTGGTCAACCTGCAGTTATCAAAGTGAGAAAATAAAAATCAGCTTCATACACATGCAAACGCACAAGTCGTAACAAACCTGCAGCGGACTCGCAGCAATGTTGTTGCAACAACTTGTCAACAGGATGTGTTTGCACTGCTTGTTCCCAGCTTGTTGACAAGTTGTCAATGGCTTGTTGGCAACTTGCAATAAGGTTGTTGAACTCAACAGACTTGCTACAAGTTGTTCCAACAGCTTGTTATCATCTTGCAATTTGACAACAAGATGTGTTCGCAACAGGCTTGTAGCAAGCTTGTCAACAAGTTGTAACAATGCTGTTATTTTATCAAGTTGCTACAATCACAACTTGTTCACACAATTTTTCAACAAGTTGTGAGTGACAACCTTGTAGCAACTTGATAAAATAACAGCATTGTAACAACTTGTTGACAAGCTTGCTATAAGCCTGTTGCGAACACATCTTGTTGACAAGTTGTGAAATTTTTACGTGTGTAGTGAGCACAAGGCTTTAATAATTCATGTCTGCAGCACTTTTCTTTGTGGGTCTTCCCACCCAGGCTTAGATGAGAGTTGTTTCACATGATTTTTATAGTTGTCTGTTACCTCCAAAACTCAACTAAGTTTTGAATTCAACTAAGTTTTGAATTTGGAGTCCCTCCATATCACAGATGATAGATAATACCAGATGAATCACTCAGCCAAATTGTGTCCGCGATTTTTTATGTGTACGCGTTGGCCGCCATTTTGGCAGTGCAAATCCACGCCCACTGAACTATATAACTGTATATATATATATATATATATATGTATATAGTTCACTGTCCACGCCATGAAACGTGAGCAATCACGCATTTTGGCAGTAAGCGCCATTTTGGCAGTAAGTGTCGCACGCGTCATCTGGCGTGATAGCCTCGCGAAACGATTGTTGAGCCTGTATTAATGAGATTGGGTCATAGGTGGTAAAACGTCATTCGTTTGCAAATGACGTTTGCTGATGCACTGGTTGTGTCAGGTTAAGTGCTACGCGGGCTAATCGTTACAAGCCAGCTTAGAATTTAAGATTTTTAAGAATCAATCACAATAATCTTGCTCAGAAATAGTAAATTAACAAAAAAAATAGAGAAAGCTGCATTTTATACAGAAATATGAGACAATTTATTTTAGAAATGTTTTAATTAAATGAAGACCTATGAGCGCATAATTACAAACTCGTACAAACATGATAAAACATGAATAAACACAGGTCACACAGCCCTAAATCAACAGCATATAGCTCTGTTCTATATCCAATTTTGCTCATTCAAAGACAAGCTGGCATTGAGCAAGGATCAAAGTTTACAGCGCGGTGGCAATATGTTCAGAAGTGGAACATTACTTTTAATCTTTACCAGTACAGCGTAAACTTGTTTTGAAGATTTTTGTTCCCATGCTTTGTTCTCGAGATATTTCATTTTGTTTGTAACCATGTGATGTCATTTACTCAATTACATATATAATGGGATATAAGTAATTGTTGTGTATCTTTGTTATTTTTTATCAAAACCTTTCCATAGATGCGGCGCGTTTGTTAATTTACCCTGCATCATCAATAAGCATATTGTTTTTTAAACAAATCCGTCAAAAACAGCGAAGATACACAACATTTACTGATAGCTCATTATATATGTAATTGAGTAAATGACGTTACATAGTTTCAAACAAAATGAAATATCTCAAGAACAAACCATGGGAACCAATTTTTTCAAAAGAAGTTACTTTACAGTTTTAGGAGTTCTTTAATGACAGTGCCACTTTAAGGCCGAGACAACACCGGACGTGATTCGACAACGCGGCGCAATATTTCCGCGTTGTCGAATCACGTCCGGTGTGTCCTCGGCCTTTAGACCACTGAGCTATAATATGCAAAGTTCAGTGATTTAGACTATGTTCGCAAGAGACTGGATGCACGTATTTGCGATAACATGTATTTTATTTAAGTTAAAACATAGTTGAAACACTCATCGATCGTTTATTTTGTTAATCCAGAGCTTGAAATATCCTCTGTAACAGTGACTGCCAACACTCATCAACTCTCAGCCTCGTTAAACCAGGCTTTTCGCTGTTGAGGATTCCCTGCCTTGAACTGTGTAGAGATACGAAGTATGCATCTAATAATATCATAATGTACAAGGCTAAGTTAAATGAATAAATTTGTGGTCAGCTCGAATTCGCCTGCATTGCTTCATGCGTTCATTCAATGAATCCAACTGGGTGGTAATTTAACGTACAATTGTTCAAAGCTGGGTTAGCGCTAACCTGGGTTAAAATTTAATCTGCTATTTTAGTTTATGTATCTCTGCACGTCTGTTTGTTTTAAAACTTCAGAGAAGAAAGCTTCTACTGATCCAGACAATATTCCTAAAGCTTAAGCTTATCGGCTTTTAAACAACTGTCCCCTGTAGTGCTGCTTTCGTGTTTCAAAAAGTGGTGGGGATAATTAAGGAGTAATTAAGTATCCGCATTGTTTCTTCAGACTAGCTGATCTTGAAAGATATCGCTAGATTGCGACACGGATCGCGAGATCATTCTCATCATGTGAAATAAAAGATTCCAATCATACCGCAGCTATTTCATGTTGGAGTCATATACATGACCTGATAGTATGATTGTAGTAATCATCATTACCGCATCATTTCAACGCTACTGTTGCGTTGAAACAAAGAACTGTCCAGGTTATGAATATGAAATCTGAAAAATATTGGGACTTCTGCCTCCCCCCTCCCCCCCAAACTGGCATTAAATGTTTAAGAAGAGTCGCCCCCCTCCTTTTTGATACCTGAGTAGTGGTACCAAATTTATCCGTGTTTGGACTTTTGAAAACTTCTGTTTTCCTCAATTTATGAAAGGTTAATGTGCAACAATTTTATCCTCATACATCTAGCAAAATCCTTACAACCCAGGCGTATGTAATTCTACGACTAAAGGCGATTTGAGGATGGTGAAAGACAGAAATCATCTCAATAAACTTTTACTCTGTATCAAACAAGCAACACACTTTTACTGGAAGATGATGTCCAACTCAGGTATTAATAACTTCTTGTATGGAATTAAGTTTTCTTCTAAAAGGGTTTTAAGTACTATTTAAAACACGCGTAGGAGACTAGGAGTGTTTTATCATATTTAAAATGCGAGTGCGCAACACGAGCATTTTAGATATGATAAAATACGACCACAAGTGTTTTGAATAGCTTCAAACACGACTACAATAGATGCCGTCTCAAATACGTTTCACTTCATTGAATCCTGGGTAAGCGGGACCATTTGAACAGCCCTCTAGATGGACTTTTAAATAGTACTTCAAGCCTCTTCATGTGACATATTATGGTTGACATGATATGCAAATAAGCTTATGGATTAATAAAGAGTGTTTGAAACACTTGTAATGTATACAGTTCCAAAGAAACACTTGTTATGTACAACTCTAACATGTAGTGTTTTTGACATATAGGAAATTCATATGGCAACTATTTTGACCCAGCCAAAGACTGTTCGTCCATACTGGACAAAATTCCCGATGCCAAAACTGGAGTATATTGGATTAAAACTGACAATGGACCGAGAAAGGTAAAGAATATGTCATGGACAAATAGTTTTGGCTCACATGTTTATCCTTATGCAAATGACCTTCCCAGGTTGAGTAACCAATTAGAATGCTGGATTTTGTGATAGACCACGGTTGAGTGTATATTAACAAGAATGTTTTACTGGACCACGGAGAGAACAGTGAAGAACTGGTATAAATTAGCTCATATTCGATAGCTCTGTTCTTCTTCATATAGGCTTGGTGTGATCTGGTTACAGACGGCGGGGGATTTTTGTTGATAGGTGTTCAAAATTCATCAAGAACCATGGATGTTCCTTCTGATTCCACAATTGTTCATCCACTGGACCTCAGACACTGGTCCAGCAGCTTTGGCGAGGAAAAGATTTTGGACTTCAGAGTTCAAATTGCAACCTCTAAAATCTGGTCCGCACAAAAGCACATTGGTATAGAAACATTCTTTCCTGGTTTGTTCACCCTTAATAGGAAACATGGCTAGGAAAAATGTTTCCTGATCTGCACACCTTTGGGAAACGTGGCTAGGAAACAGTATGTTTCCACAACATTGTTTGAAATGAAATCTTAACCATTTCTAGGTACTATCGTTTCAATACGCCAAGGAAACTGTCAAACCTTCTTCTCTTTAATGATGGAAATTGCGACAGCCATCATCCGGGTGTCGGGGACGTGAAATTTGTGAAAGATCTCCAGGACAATGTTGTGGTCACAAAAAAATTTGAATGTTCGCGCTTTGATGTTCATTTTCACAAAAGTCTGGGATGGGTTAGTACAAATAAAATTGGGGAACTAGTGCAATAAATTTCTACAATACAATACAATACACTACAGTGGCTTGTGTCTGGACTACCCGAAAAAGACTAAAACCACTTTGATGAATTATGTAACAAATAAAGTAAAATAAATGTGTATATTTTTAGGGTAAAATGAATGAATGCTTTCGAACTCCGTGCAAAACTGGTTTCAATTTTCTTAAGTTGGCAACTACAGGAGCTTTCAGGTAAAAACAATCTTTAAATTTTAAAGAATTTGGAACGATCCATTTAACGT